ACATTCATGCTGGATTCTTTCCAAGAACCACTGAACATACTAGAAAAGTAGCCAGACTGAAGAAAAGTAAAGAGTTAATGATTGACCGGTACTTTGTCTTCCAAATTATTTTCCCATTTCTAACTCCACCCAACTATTTTTATCAAAACTAATTTGCCATATTATTTCAAGAGAAAAAGAACTGTTCAGTACACCTACAGCAGAAAAGAACTTAAAGTCATTATAAAGTATTCTGAAGTACATGTTCAATTTAGTACATCTCAAAACTAAACTAAATTCTATTACTCTGTGAACTGAATTCCCACATTACTTCTTAAACCTGATTAGCTTTTACTTAAAGCAATTCCTGGGTAGTGCACTGAAAGTTCAATCCTGGGTTTTGGCACCAAAAAGAACTGATTAAAATAGAATAAAATAAAGACATTATTCAGTACTTACTATGTTCATCCATTTGTACCTGTGGCTTCAGGACATGCTGTCAACACTAAACCCACATATGATCAAGTCCCTCCTCTCTGCACTGACCTGTACATAGACCCCCTCATACCCTTTTAAGTCACCTGTAGTTACCTGCATCATCCAATACAATGTAAATGTAATGTAGGCAATCACATTATTTTTTTAGGGAATGACCAAAAAAGTCATGTGTGTTTCTTCAATACATGTCAATTTGCTTTTTTTCCAATTATTTTTAATCCTTAGTTGTTACACAGGGGATGTGGAGCCTGCACATACAGAGTGCCAACTGTTTATAGCAGGCTAGGAACATGGACTCAGATGTGGTTTCTGTCCACAGGCAGCCAGACTGCAAGGATCATGAGAGGCAATCTCATCCTTGTCACGGTGGCCATCTCATCCTTAAAAGCCAATGAGAGATTTTTTTCTTTCAGAGACTAAAACAAAGATATGGTTAAGACTAATGGTCTGATATATCCTCTGGATTGTATTCTTTCTGGACTCTAGCTCTTTTTAAAAAGTAAACTCGGCTTCTCTTTCTTTTTAACAAATTTTTTGGACTGTACTCTTCAAATCAAAGTAAACTTTTTCAAAACTTAAACGAAAAACATTTTGATGAAAATGTGGGAGAAAGAAACATTTCAAACATTTTCCTTGGCAAATCTCAGACTACTGTCTTTCAAGTAGTTACTCTCCAACAATGGTGAGAAAACACTAGATCCACAGGGTAAGAACTCACAAGGCCGAGGACATAGAATGGGATGGAAGGTCATCAAACAAAACATCTGAGGGGCTGGGTGTGGTAGAGCAGTTTTAATACCAGCACTTGGGAGGCAAAAGTGGGTGGATCGCTGTGAGACTGAGGCCAGCCTGGTCTCCATATTGAGTATCAGACCAGGTGTGGCTACAGGGAAACCAAAAGAACCAAAACCAAAACAAAACTAAACTAAACTAAAGGGTCTGGTGAGATGACTTAACAGGTAAACACACTTGCTGCCAAGTCCAATAACTCAGTTTGATCCCCAGGACCCCATCATGGAAGAAGAGAACCAACTCCTGTAAGTTGTCCTCTGACATGGGGTACACACAGTGGCAGTGTATACACATGCGCAAATACAATAATAAATATTTTTTTAAAATTTTTAAAGAAAACATATCTGAACTCTTAGAGCAACACTTTACTCTATTTGAAAGTTCTGAGCCATTGTAATTTTTTTATTATTTTTATTTAATATGTATGTGTGTATTGCCTGCATGTATGTGAGTGCACCCTGTGTAGTGCAATGCTGTAGAATTCAGAAGAGGGCATTGGATTCCCCAGGAACTGGAGTTATGAACAGTTGTTAACAGCCATGTGGGTTCTGGAAATTGAACCCCTGTCCTCTTCAAGAGTAGCGAGTGCTCTTAACTGCTGAGCCATCTCTTCAGCACCCCCCCATCTTGGTTTTTGTTTTTAATTATTTTTTACTTATTTTTTTAATGTGTTATCAGTGTTTTGCCTGTGTGTAAGTGCGTCCATGTCATACATCGGACCCCCTAGAACTTCATGAGGTGCTGGGAACCAAAACCCAGGTCCTTTGCAAGAGTAGCCAGCATGTGTGTCAGGGGAGGGAAGGGGTTAGCTGCCAGTGCTCTTAAGTGCTGAGCCATCTCTTCAACCCTCTTATTTTGTGTTTTTTGAGACAGGGTCTCTCAGTGGGACCTGATGCTCACTAATTGGCCAGCCAGTGAGCCCCAGGAATCTACCTATTTCCACCTCTCCAGTCCTGGGATTATGAGCATGCCAGCCCACTTGCCTTTTTACAGGGGATCCAGTGAAGATCCTTGTGTTTGTACTGACCAAGCCATCTCCTCAGCCCTATGGAGTCTTAAAGTGACTCAGCACTGTCTTTGTACAAAACATTAGGTCTCTTAAAAGTGTAAATAGAAAATAGAAAGATTTTAGCCTGGTGTGGTGGCGCATCCCTTTAATCCCAGCACTCAGGAGGCAGAGGCAGGAGATGACATGTCTTAGTCCACACCAGAGCTCTGTGTGAAATCCACCCAAGAGCAGAGTGCAACTGAAAGCCTGGGGTGCTGGAAGCAGCTACCCTGACCATCAACAGGGAAATGGAGCACTTACTTGACACAGGTATACTTTGTGGAAGCGCCACTCTTCTCCTAGAGCACAGATTTTAATGTCACTGTTTTCACCATTCAAAAACAATGTTTGATAGATGTATTTAGATGTACTCTTTAATTTTTTCCTGTCAAGAGAAATGCAGAAGTTGCATATTCAAAAAGCACAGTGTGAGAACCCCAGCATCACAAGGCTGTGGGTTCAGTCCCTAGTACCGTATAGACCAGGTATGATGGGCAGCGCACCTGTATCCCAACACTGAATAAGATGGGAAGACCTGACCACAGTGGGTGGCACCATTCCCTAAGAAGTGGATTCTGAACTGTGTAAGAGTGGAGAAAGAGCTGAGCATGCATGAGCACTCACTGCTCTCTGCTCCTGATTGTGCTGTTATCTGACCAGCTGCTTCAAGTTCCTGCCACCTTGACTTCCCCACAGCGATAAACTGTCACCTGGAACTCTCCTAAATTGCTTTTGTCTGGACATTTATCACAGCAGCAGGAAAAGAAACTAAAACACTGGGTGTAACAGTACACGAATAATCAGAGCACTGACCAGAGAGAAGAAAGAAAATCAAGAGTTCAAGATCAGCTTTGGCTACATACCAACTTTGAGACCAGCCTAGGCTAAATGAGACCCTGTCACAACACAAACCAAAAAACCTAATGAAAGGAAAAAAATTACTGTTTAGTTCAGTGTCTGAAACCAGTGTGTTTAAGATCTACAGAAAACAACAACAAAACTTGCAAACACAAAAGTAAAGAAAGAAAAAAAAGGCTGAAAGTATGAAAAGGTGTTAAGAGCCAGGTATGGTAATGGCAGAGGTACACACTTATAATCCCAGCATTTCAGACTGAGAAAGGGGAACTGCTGAGCTTCAGGCCAGCCTGGCCCACAAGGGAGAGGTCTCAAAAATAAACAAGGAGCTGGAGAGATGGCTCAGCAGTTCAGAGCCCTTGCTGCTTTCGCAGAGGTCCAGAGTTCAGTTCCTAGCTCACAACTGTCTATAACTTCAGTTCCAGGGAATCTAATGACCTCTTCTGGCCTGTGTGGGCACTGATCACACATAGTACACATACATACATGCAGGTAAAACATTCATATGTAAAATAAAAACAAAATCTTTTAGACAAACAAGAAGGAGTAAATCTAAAACAACAAAAAACAGGAGAGTGGAAAAAAGAGAACTGAAGCTGAGCATGGTGGCCTTTAATCTTAGCACTCAGGAGGCATAAGCAGGCATAGTGAATTGCAGTCCAGTCAGAGCTACACTGACAGGAGACTGCATCTCAACAAGAGGAGGGAGGAGAGGGAGGAGGGAGAAGGGGAGGGAGGTGATCACCTAATGAGAGACTTCCAGAGATGTAGAAATTATAAGATAAACTGGAATGAAAAAGGGTAGTGAATACAACAGCCCAAAATATAATACATTACAAAGCACTCAAATGAGATTAAGCCTACCTGCCCTTTAGAGCTGGGGATGTTAAAAGGTCTCTTCTAGTTTCCTTTCTGTTGCTATGATAAAACACTCTGACCAAAGCAACTTGGTGGGGAAAGGGTTTACTTGGCTTATACTTCAAGGTAAGTCACTGAGAAAAGTCGGGGCAGGAATTCAAGTAGGAATCACAGATGTGGGACTTTTCCAGAAAGAAACAGAACAAACCCATCAGGAAATGTATGGCTTATGTGCAGGTGTCAGTGTCTTAGACAGAGCAAGCCTGGTTCTGGTACTAGAGGAATCTGTAGCCTAACAACTCTCAAACCATTTATACTACATCATGGTTCCCAAACTGTGCCAAACTCAAGAGAGGGACACAGAATTTTATTTTTATTTATTTTTTGGCTTTTTGAGACAGAGACATATGTAGTCCAAGCTGGCCTTGAACTTCCAATCCTCCAATCTTCATCTCCCAAGTGGTGGGATTTCAGACATGTATCACCACATCTGACTGGGAACACTTTTTAACTGAAAGGAACTGTCTCTGAAGCAATTTACCACCATAAAGTATTTCTTTTGGACCAGGTATGCCTTGAAAAAGTATAGAGATTAAAGGCACTGTGAACCAACAAAGCTTGGTGATTGGTGCTCTAAAACAAAGCCTATCCCACCAACATCTAGTTCTGTCAGTCTTCCTTCTCAAAGAGACTCACTGGGAATGTATTTACTCAACCAACACACACAGACACACACCCCAGCTACTCATTCTTAAGTATAAGAGGGATAAGTGTTCTAGTTTGCTTTCTGTTTCTATGACAAACACCATGCCCAAAAGCAACTTAGAGGAGGAAAGAGTTTATTTTAGCTTACACTTCCAGGGCACAGTCATCTTTGAGGGAAGACAGGGAAGGATGGAGGAATGCCGGCATGTATGTAAGTACATCTGTGTCCTGCAAAGCCCTTGGAGGTCAGAAGAGAGTGTTGGATCCCCTTGAACAGGAGTTACAGACAGCTGTTTGAGCTTGGGTCCTCTGCAATAGCAGCCAGTGCTCTTAACCACTGAGCTATCTCTCCAGCTCCCAGAAATAAGAAATTTTCAAAAAATCCTAATTCATATGCCTGAAATTCTCCAATTATTATATTAATAAAATAAAAACAGGAAGTGATGATAAAGGATGACTCAGAAGAAGAAAGAGCTATTTAATTACTAGTATATGAGTCTTTAGATTATAGATCCACTAATTACCAAAGGCATCAAAGACTCACACTAAGGGACATTTATAGTTGGATTCTAAAATATCTAAGAAAAAAAATCTAAAAGTTTCAGGAAGAAAAAATATGTTCACCTAAAAAGAAAACAGAATTAGACCACGGTCACATTTTTCATCCATACTCCCACCATGAGACAATGAAGCAGCATCATGAAGATGGGGACAGGAGAGACAGCTCAGTAGGTAAAGACACTGCCAAGTATGATGAGTGATGTGAGTTCAATCACCTGGACCCACATAGTGGAAGGAAAGAAATAAAGCTGTTCTCTGACTTCTACACACATGCCATGACAAGGGTATACACAGATGTGTGTGCGCACACAAAAATGTGATTTAAAAGAATTTTTTAGGGGTAGATGTTTAGTCAGGTGTGGTAGCTCTTGCCTTTAATCCCAGCACAGTGGGGGCAGAAGGGGGCAGATCTCCATGAGATCCAGGCCAGCCTGGTCTACATAGCAAGTTCCAGGACAGTTAGGGCTGAGACCCTGTCTCAAAAAAATGAAACAAAATAAGGAGTAGATGCTTAAAGATAAGGAAAGTTATATAGAATACCAAAACCAGACAGAAGAGGAATAAACTAAAACTAAGTTTACTCTTAGATATACAAAAGTTGTTTTGCTTTTGCACTCTTTCATGAGAAAATACTTGAAGATGTAGTTTACTGAAATAAGAAACAAAGGCTACTAAAAACAGTGGGTCCAATCCTAGAGAGAAGGTGAAAGTCGGTCCTCATTATGATAAAAACAGAGAGATCCATACTGGAGCAGGAGGCAGGAACTCTGCAGGACGTCTAAATGGTTGAAGGAGATGGATTCCATACAAAGGTTTTCAGAAGATGAAAAAAAAAACCCCTCAAGATATGATGAAGGGATATTTTTTTCTCAATGGGGGCAAAAAAGGCAGGTGGAGGGGCTGGAAAGGTGTTTCAGAAGATGAAAAAAAACCTTCAAGATATGATGAAGGGATATTTTTTTCTCAATAGGGGCAAAAAAGGCAGCTAGAGGGGCTGGAGAGATGGCTCAGCAGTTCAGATTACATACTGCTCTTGCAGAGAACCCAGAGTTTAGATTCCAGCACCCATGTCAGGCAGCTCACATTTGCCTGTAACTCCAGGTCCAGGGAATCTGAGGACCTTTGGCCTCCACGGGCACCACACACAAATGGGCACACACAGAGAGACATAAGTACACATAACTTTAAAAAGTATTTAAATTTTAAAATTTTTATTTTATGTGTATGAGTGTTATGCCTGCATGTATGTAAGTGCACCCATGTCATGCAGTTCCCATGGAGGCCAGAAGATGGCACCGGAGTCCCTGGAACTGGAATTAGAGTGGATGCTGGGATTCAAACCCAAGTCTTCTGCAAGAGCAGCCAGTGCTCTTAACCACTGAGCCATCTCTCCAGCCCCAAATATTTTTTTTAAAGCAGTTAGAAATTCTAGAGCTATAAGAAATATAAAAAAAACATGGCCAGAGAGATAACTGAGCAGGTAAAGGCCTCGCCACCAAGCCTGAAGACCTGAGCTCAATCCCTGGAACCCACATGGTGGAAGGAGACAAGATGGTTTTAGATCTCCACACATGCTGCAGCACACTCCCCTCCAAAGCACAAATAATGCAGAAAAGTAAAAAAGGTTAAGGAATTCTAGGGGCTCTGTTGGATGTAGCTCAACTGATAGTGTTTGCCCAGCATCTAAAAGGCCTTGGGTTCCATCCCAGCACTACCATACAGTAATTCTGAGGCCAGCTTGGAGGTCACCTAGGGCACATGAGACCTCATCTCAAAAAGTGAAAGATATGGCCTAATGCCGACCTCTGTGGCACTAAATCTGTGAAGTGTGATTTATAAGCCTGAAGTACCTTTACACTAACTGTTCACTAGATTTCAATTTTTACAATCTATGGGCAAAATGCAGATGATTTGCTGCAGAACCGTGTGAGTTTTAACAATCTTGTGGGGGGTGGGTCGAAGCTGAAGCTTCTCCTGAGTTGGTTTGTTGAGAGAGTACAACAGACAACCTCAGAAGGGGATCAGCGTCTTACCACAAAAATTACAGATCCTAGTATCTTTTTACATCTTTGGCTATGCGGGTATAAGTGAAGCATCTCCCACTAATACACATACACTAAATTCTGATATGCATTTGCTTTGCTTTTCTTAATTTGTAACTTAGGCTATCCTTGAACCTATGAGTCTCCTGGAGCAGTCTCCTGAGTACTGTGACTACAGGTATGTGCCACAAAGTTTGACCTATTCCTGTACCTTTTTTTTTTTTTTTTTTTTTGAGATCTCTTTACCTTATGTTTTGTCCTAAATAGTTAATTTCCTTCTCTTGTTAATAAGATTTACATTAACATTTCCCTGTTCAAATGACTATGTGGTTTCTTTTATTGTTAATTTTATTTTTTTATTTTATGTGTATGCATGTAGTGCCTGCATGTAGGTAAGTGCAATGCCTGTGGAGGTCAGAAGAGGCTGTCAGGTCCTTTGAGACTAGAGTTACAGACAGTTGTTAGCTGCCATATGGGTGCTGGGATTTGAGCCCGGGTCTTCTGCAAGGATACCAGTATTCTTAACTGGAGCCATCTCTCCAGCCTCAACTATGAGGTTTCTTTTAAATGGCCCCTGGCATATATTTCAACAATTACATTAAATAGACGTGGTCTAAGCTGGGTGTGGTGGCACATACCTTTGATCCTGGCACTCAGAAGGCAGAGGCAGGTGGATCTCTGTGAGTTCAAGACCAGCTTGGTATACATAGTGAGTTCCAGGTCAGCTAGGGCTACAAGGAGGCCCTGTCTCAAAAAGACCCCCTCCAAAAAAAATATGTGGTCTAATCCTGATCCAAAGGAACAGACTGTCTTACTGGATTTAAAAAAAAAAATCAAGACTGAATTAAAGGTTGTATACATGACACCTACTTTAAAGAGAAAGACATAAACTTGTGGAGATGACTCAATCAAGTGCCTTTCAAGCACAAGGTACTGAGTTGGAGGCCCAGAACACACATAAAAAGCCAGGCAGGGTTTCTGGCATCTGTAAGTCTAGCATTGGGGGAAGGGGGTAGGCAAGGCAGATCCCTGGACTTTGTTGGCCAGCTAGATTAGCCAGTCAGTGACCCTCAACTTTAGTAAAAGATCCTGTCTCAAAAAGCTAAAGTAGAGAGCAATAGTGGAAGGCACCCACTGTCAACTTCTGGCCTCCATATCACATGAGCATACACACACACGCACAGAGAGAGAGAGAGAGAGAGAGAGAGGTAAAAAGTGAAAGGGGCTGGGACTCCATGTAGTTCAGTGGTAGAATGCTTAACTAGCATGGTTAATGCCCTCAGTTCCATGAGGGTCTGATGGGGGAAATGGTTGATAGAATGTGGAGGGTAAGTCTGAAAGAATGAAAAATGGCACACCAAATAATTATCCAAAGGACATGGAACTGGGCATGGTGGCACATGCCTTTAATCCCAGCACTTGGGGGAGAGAAGCAGGCGGATCTCTATGGGACTGAGACCAGGCTGGTCTATATAGCAAGTTCTAGGCCAGCTGGGGCTACAGGAAGACCCTGTCTCAGAAAAGTAGGAGTGGTTATGTTACTAGGGCTAAAGAGGGATGACTATCTTTTTTAAAAATATTTTATTATTTTTATTTTATGTGTATGAATGCATTGCCTGCATGTAGGCAAGTGCACCCGTGTCGTGCAACACCCTCGGAAAACAGAAGAGGCCGTTGGATCCCATAGAACCGAAGCTACAGACAGCCGTTAGCTGCAATGCGGGTGCCGGGACTCAAACCTGGGTCTTCTGCAAGAACAGCCAGCAACCTCAACCGCCGAGCCATCTCTCCAGCCCTGGGATGACTAACTTATAATGATGTTAAGGGCCAGTTCATTAAGGAGTTATTACTATTGAATACATAAAAGTCAGGCACTGTGGGGCTGGAGAGATGACTCAGTGGTTAAGAGTGCATACTGTTTTTGCAGAGGACTGAGTATAACTCCCAGCACCCATATCAGGCTGATCACAACTGCCTGTAACTTCAGCTCTTGGGGATCGAAGGTCCTCTTCAGGACTCCAGAGGCACCTGCACAAACCGACACGTGGATACACACACATATACACATAATTAAAAATGAAATAAATCTTTATCAAAAAAAGACTGACACTGTGCCTGTGTTTCCCCCCCCACCCCAACTTCCCCCACAGCTCCTCTGTCCAAGATGGTCTTGAACTCACTATGTAGCCCAGGTTGATCTCCAACTTAAGATTCTCCTGCCTTGGCCTCCCGAGTGCAGACATTACAGTCTTGCACCACCTTGCTGGAACTCTATGAGGTGGCAGTAATACCCATTTTATATACAAATAAAGGTATATTAAGTACAGAATGCAGACAGAAATTCAGAATCTGAGCTCTTAAGAACACACTAAACTGCCAGGCGTGGTGGTGCAAGCCTTTAGTCCCAGCACTCGGGAGGCAGAGGCAGGTGAATCTCTGTGAGTTCAAGGCCAGCCTGGTCTACAAAGCAAGTTCCAGGCCAGCTGGGGCTACAGGGAGACCCTGTCTCCAA